CACACACACACACACACACACACACACACGCACACACGCACACATAAACAATATGAATTAAACACATATATTCATTTTTATGGTAGTGGTTTATACCTGCAGTATCATTTGACTTTGACCAGCATTCTGTAAGAACTCTTTCACAAGGTCAAAAACCAAATGGTCATCCTTGTCTGTTGGGAAATTTAGATCAGCAACCCATCCACCCAACTGAGTGCCTCGAACAGCAGACAAAGCTGCCTGTTAAACAACCACACAAAATTCAATAAGAAAGGTAATCAACTTCAACTAGGACAACAAGCACAGTAAGGTTTTAATGCAATTTAATGTAGTTAATCAATTCTATGCAATTTGCTGTTCACTGTAGGAAGAGCAAGTCCTACATACATGCAGAGAAAAAAGAAAGAGTAAACAATTTCACTATAATCTACTATTTCACTTACAATTTATATTGTCCTTATATAATTTATATTGTCTACAATTTAAGTAGGTTTAATTTACAAAAATCTAATCAAGGAACCGTTTCTAAATGTGTAAATTTACGTCAATAATATAAAGGAAACTTATTATGAAAATTACCTTTTGTAATTTATAATGCTTTTCTGTATCTTCCAATTTGTCTTTCAAAGTTGCCTTAGCCTTTTCCATTGCATCCCTAGCACGACGATATTTAGTATAACGGGTCCCTAATGTGTAAAGAGGATGTTGACCTCCAGGGCCATGAGCTTCTGCCTCTTTCACTAAAGCCATCTGTTGATGACAATCTTGAAATAACTCTTCAACGGTTTTGATTTGATCTTGAATATCGGTCCAATTTTTAAGATAACTTTCTAATTGTGGCATAGCAGCAAGTAAATCATCTCTGAAAAGATTTCAAATAATAATAGTAATTATTACACAAGTGATTTTCAGTAACATCTGTCAAAAAAAAGAAAGAAAGAAAAAAAGAAAAATACTGACCTATTACTTAACCAATCACATTTCATTTCTGTCATACGAACACAAAACATTGACTGGGTAACTTCTCTTTCTAATTCTTTTCTACTCTGCTTTGATTCCAAGGCAACTGCTTGACCTCCGTACACAGCACCTACAAGAATATAAAGTATATTCAACAACAGGTTATCTTTTGTTTTCCTAATCTGCATAAAAATCAGGGAAAATTTCTAAGATACACTATATAAGATAGCAATTTATCACACTCGCTAAGGCCAACTGTGTTGCCGACTTCATTAGGAATGTTCAAAGGATTTGTGGAGGCAAGGTTCGACTGTCTTAGCACTAAATGAATATGATGTGACCCTTCTTACTTCTAGCTCGGTGCTTTGATATCTGAACTACTGTGTTTTCATTATACTAACTTAACACAAACTTTTCCTTACTTTGTTCGAAATATTTACTTAATATATATTAACTTTACAAAAAATGACTAGAATTATGCAACAAAAACTATTTAAACACACTATATATTTTCAAAACCGATGAAGTGTTTTAACACAAGCTTGAAATACTAGTAGCCCAACTGTTCAGAAACAGCACACCTGAACACTAAAAGCTTTTTTCTTCCTCATAACATGAAGCAAGTCAGCTGTGTTGTACACAGTAACATACCAAGTATGGGAATATTGCGGTAACTTTTACTACGAGATATTGCGCTTTAACATAGTCAAAAATTTGCATTTTTCAGCCAAAATCTATACTTTTACTGATTTTTCCAGAGTTTCTGTGCTATCTAACGAAACCATTGATACCTCTCACACCGCCAGTGGCTGCTTAGTTTTCTGTCACTTTATGTGTTTATTTAAAAATTAGTAATATTAGGAAACCTGTTGATCATTTCTTTTCCCAGAGTTTTTTCTGGATTTTCCTGATTTCTCACTTTAGCACCATCTACATAACTGAGTAAGATTGTAAAAAGTACCTCCAAGTGAAATGAAGCAGAACCATGTGAACAATGGTTACTAAAATGTTTAAAAATGTTTACTGGTTACTAAAATGTTTCTAATACTAGATTTGAAGTAAAAGTGTGAATACTGAAAATGGCAATGCTTGGCAGGAAGGAGATGCTAAGACAAGAATATTTATCCACTCAGAGAAACTTGCGAAGCCTTACATACAGCACTCCAAAAATACATTTTGTTATTAAACTGTTATTTAAACTTTTTTCGTATTAATGTGCAGCCCTTAATTACCCCCCCCCCCTTGAACTACGGTGTTGGCTGCTTGTTTCTTGACTAACAGACCCTTTCCATGACTTACATATAAGCCTTAGGAAATTGGAATCTTGAAGGACAAATAATCAAACGTATCACACAAGAATACTTAGATGTCCCAGAGAGAGTTCCTCTGCATTACCACCATACACAAGCAAATATTACATTCCGACTCAGAAAGCTGGGCAACAGTGCACTGGATTCAAACTGTATTAACAGGTAACCTTCAGCCACAAAATGGTGCTGTCTAGTGTGTGGACAATGGGGACCTGGATCAGTGTATTAGTTCTATAATGGCACCCATAAATGAAGCGTTTTTCTTCCTTGTCACATCTCCACTGTGCCATAAGTAGTAACACACTGAGAATGAGAATGCAGTCCTAACATTAATCTGGTTCGAGAAATTGGGGATTAACATAGTTTTGATTTTGAATGAAAAATGCAAATATTGGTAGGTTTAATTTTTCTGTGTTTGTCTTCAATTTTTCTGGGACTCGAACCAATAAATAAAAAACATTGCCATCTCTCATACAACTCGAGGCTATTTAATTATCCATCAATGTATGCATTTATTCGAAATTAGGATATGGATTGTTTATTATATATAGTAATAACCCTTTTATTTATATAGTTCATGATGCAGCTACTGGCACTTGTCCCATAATTTTTCCTCTCCTCTCCTCTCCTTCCATTTAATTTCAGTAAGAGTAGAAGGGACTCAATAGGCACAGAGAAGCCAGCTCTTCTAAGGGAGTCAACTTAACACAAATCCTGTTAACCACATGCTGAGGGTTTGGCAACCCTATTTATAGCACTCTACCCTGCACACCACCTGTAATGCAGCCAGGGGCACTTCTTACTACTGGCAAAATTACAAGCAATCAGAAAAGCTAATAAAACAATGATGACGAAAGCATGAAATAGGGTTATGAATCGGGAAAGGAAAATACATATTTCATCGTGGAATGAGAGGTCTATGTTGCAAAAAAACAGAACTTGAAACAATTAAAAGGAGCAAAGTAGATGTGGCAATGATAACAGACAATAATATCAATAAAAAAAATTAAAGAGGTTTAAGAGAATTAACTGAGTTTTTAATGAACAATAGTGGTGTTGACAAAAAGGGAACTCAAGCAGGCAAAGCCATTCTTCTTTCTTTTAGTGCCATATACTGATAAGCATGTGGGTAAGTCTCCAGAAGCCCCTTGTTGCGAGACATCCTGAGCAAGTATATCTAGGGTGGTTTGCCATTACTTTCCCTAGGGGTACTGGTGTGCCAATTTTGATGTTTGAATTGAATACCAGATAGCACAGGCCAAGATTCAATATCCACAATCTTATCCAGTAATTCAAATCAAAACTGATTGGCGCTAAATTTCTAGAGGATTTAATTTTCCCAGGATTGGCCAAGTGCCTTTCCTGGGATCCCTTTTACATGCCTATAAGTTTCCACATGCATTCCGTCTATTTTTGGCAGCTCAAATATCTCCAACTTTGACCGGCTTTGAACCACCGAACTTGGGATCAGTAGTCCAGCATGATAATTACTATCTCATCAAAGCCAGCTGGCAAAGCCATACTAGTATAAAAATATTTTAAGGACAAAATAGATTGCTACTCTTGTTTAGGAAGGAATAATAAGCATCAATATTAAACTTGGTAGATCAAAATTTAATATTATGAGAGTTTATGCCAAAAAGATGGAAAAACTGAAAATACCACATTTTTCTATGAAGACCTGCAGACAGTTGTAAAAGAAACACTTCATAATGAATATCTGTAGTAGCTGGTGATTTCAACACTAGAATTGGGACTGTTAATTAAACTAATTAAAGGCGTGGAAGGTGCATCAGAAGAAATTGTAAATGAGTTGCAAGATTTTGTATCATTGAACTGTCTGAAGAGTATCAGCAAAACTGTCTTGAACACCTGCAATGAATGAATCTAGAATGGGTTTTGCACCTGATATTAAGAGTATATCCCTGTAGGACAAAGAAGTAGAGGATGCCCCTGCAAAAGGAGGAGAGATCAACTGCCACAATGCTAAATGCTTGTTATTGGAATGGGCCAATTGAAATGTGGTTGGTTGATTAAATGAGGTAGATTAAGTTACTCAGATTTCTAGGTGGGCAATATACAGTGCCCTGCAAACGGTTGTTTTCCTGGGTATCTAATCAAATTTTATATCACATCATTGTTCAGCTTTGCCAGTGAACCACCCACTTTCAATTTTATGACTTCAAATTTGTTATCAGAAACCAACATTTTAAACACTTCTACAAAATAACACTTCATTTTATGTAATACAATACGATTTGAAGAATTAAGCAGTTATTTTTTCTGCTCGGACCTCATCAAAAATATCTTTACAAATTCATTTAAAACTCAGTTTTCTACTAGTGGAACATTTTCATTAGGTGTACCACAAACAGAAATTAGTTTAAAACTGTTTCAAGAATATCTTTCAAAATATTTTTTAAATCAAATTTTGAATTAAAAACAACAGTATTCCAAAGAAAATATTTTTAAACAGCAAATAACGTTTATTGAAAACGTTTCCAAGCATAAAGGCAAAGGAAAATTAAATTGTTAAACATACTTTGTTACTGGGTACTGGTATTTTTAAGTGGATGGGCTCAAGGAACTAGTAAAAAACAATTATTTTCCGCAATTACTATTCAAAACATTACTTTATTTTGCTCAGCGGACTTTTTTCAGTATTACCTGGAGAGATCTTTCTTACCATTTGGCAGTCTGTTTAACTGAAATAAGGCTCACAAATGTTTATCACAATAAAGAGCGGATTCATTTTTTTTTTTATCCTACATAATGCATAACTCGTAATAGTTTGCAACTCTGCACTGTGTGGGCCGGGCAATTGGTGAAGTAATGTTAGGATTAAAATACAAATGAGTTAATGAATGATGTCTTCACCAACTGATATATGCTAAAAAATATTGAAGACATGATTTAATAATACTCATGACTTGGAAATGAAATATCATTCAAGCTCGACTAATAACATTAAGAACTCAGACCATACAAACCATTCAGAGACAAATTTTGCAACATCTCTTTCCCCCATCCCCTCCCATTTCCATCTCCTCTGGTGGTCTCCCAAGTGGTCTCTCTTGCTGCTGCTGTTCTTACAAAGAGACCTTATATAATTTTACTAATAACCACTTGTGGTATTTTATAGGATTGGCACTTTACAGTGACACATCAATTCATAATTTTTTCTCCACTCTTTCCAGCTATTTCCCAGTATAATTTTTGCTTCCCTGCATTTACCAGGTTTTCCCTGTTTTATCAGAATTTGGTCACCCCGAATTCAAAGGTTTTCAAGTATCTAATGACAACATTGACACCTCTCCCAGCAACTGCTTAATTTTCCTTTAATTTGTACTCTTATTCAAAATTGTAATTCATAAGTAAAAATTCCTAAGTATAATATAAATATATAGATATATAATACAAATTTAAATGAAATAAAGTTTATTTTCATTAGATTTTATGATTATGATAATGGGAATAACTTACAGAATCTATTCAACAAAACATACATTAGGCAATAAACACAGTAGTGACGGGGAAAAAAATTATACAAATGATAGTATTGCATAGCTTTCAAAAGAATTTCATAGTTTTGGTCATACATTAATAAAATCCATTTCCCACTTATTTTCAATAACCAACAGATCAAGAAACACTGAATTAATATTAAGTGCCTTTCTAAACCAACTTCTCCATCATGAAAGGTTAGTTGGAATTGTAATTTTACAAAATAAAACAAAGCATCACATGCTCTTTCAAAAAGTAATCAATGAAATGGAAAAATATTTAACCTGACTGCATTAAATTATTACCAATCAGTATCAAAACATTAGGTAATTTTTCAGGCTGACATGACACTGGAACCTATATGTAATACTATATATAATACATATACATCTGAATGTATATCTATATTCAAATTTAGCAAATAGTTGGTTAAAATATAAATTTTGGAGTTCTTAGTAGAAAAAAAGTGTACTGTAAACTTACCAGTGTAGCCTGCTTCATTCCCAGGTTTCCAATCAATTAAAGGATCATACACAAAAGCTTCAAGAAGAGTTAGTAATGTCTCTCGACCTTTCTTCATAACTTTTAAGACATGTTCAGAGGCTTGTCGAAATATTCCCTATGAATGAGAGAAAAAAAGAAGCAAACTACATTTCACACAAAAAGGTACAACTACCAAACATGATAAAAATTCATTATGGGCTTTTTTCCCTTTTCTTTTCCCCCAGAAGAATAGATGGGGTCACAAAAGTTTCTTTTGAATCCAATACAAATGCTACACGAATTGCACATACTTAATTCACTGAAAAATCCCAATTTAAAATGTTTGAAAATTCAAGATCAATTGCCATAAATGATGCCTTTTCTTTCTTTCAAAATTCGTAACCAAAAACCATCTTTGTTCTCCATTGTTCCTTATGACAACAATGAAAATAAGCAAATTCATAACCATTATACAAGATGTTTAATGAAAGAATTGCAGTTCTAAGTCAGAAACTATTACAGACCAAAGAAGAATGTCTTTCAGTTTTGATGCCAATAGTAGTAGAAGTAAAATATTTGTACCAATAATATTAATTACCAGCATAAATGTTAACATTAAATCTTAAACACAGATCAAAAATAAAGTGTAGCTCAAACGACCCTGCCTGAATAGTAAACTGTTTACAAAAATCCTTTTCTTGATATGTTTTCAACTTCAATACACTTTCTACAGAATATTCTGTATTCAATAAAACTATTAATACAACCATACTGCAGAAAGGAACAATGTTCAAATCAACCTAACTGTGATTTGCATCAGAAAATGAATACTTTTGCCAAACATTTTTTGTCAATATTGACAAGTTCTACATTTTTAATTCATGATTTTACTGTACCGGTGCTCATAGGCATAGTTTACCAATTTATTTCAAATTATATTCAATGTTTTTGTTAAAACTGGCGTTGAAGAAATTATCACGAAGAACAGAAAAATGATTAAACTTCATATTGATAATGATTTGCAATTATTACACATCAAGTATTGAAGCAAATGATAAGCAATGTAATACATTGAAATAACATGTTACAACTTACAAGTACAATTTCCTTTGACAATTTAAAAACCAATTCCTGAATAAAAATGTTTACTACTAGTACAAGAATTTAAGCTGAAGATTGTTACTGTTTAAAGATTTTATTCCTTTCCAAAAACCTTAATTACAAGATTATGACAATCTGAAATATAAATTGGTACTCTTTAGTTTCAACTTTGTTATTATGAATTAATAGTTAAAAGATGCAAATTTCATAGTGGGAAGTAGAACAATTTTAAATGACCTCTTTTTAAAGATGAAGAAAATAACTAATTTCTAGTGTACTATACACTTTAAGAATACTACATTTTATTAATTACCTTCAATGTGTTTAAGGAAATGTCCTCCCCAATAACAAAGATCATAAAAGAAAAATAATTTCGGGGCTTTAACTAACAACAAATTTTAATTTCTGACAAAACTGCCTATGTAATCACAAACAGAGCTGTGTACAGTGCATGAATGAACACTTTCTATACACTTTATTTCCTCTTCAAACACTTCCAGGGATCCTTGAGAACTACCTTCAGAACCATGACTCAGCAGTAATGTCTTTCATATCTCTTGAGAGTGGACATGAGAAAAATAGAAATAGAAGTTATAAAAATTCAAATAGAAGAAAATAGTAATAAATACTTCTTCCACAACCAATGAACTACATTGTATGTGTCTAAAGTGGTTAGAGAAAGTTCCAGGCTCAAAGGTAAATATTCACTTTCCCACTAATGCAACTTCATGTGTGACCTCCAAATAAAGAGAGAGAGAGAGAGAGAGAGAGAGAGAGAGAGAGAGAAGAGAGACAGAATTACCTTGAGTAACAAACCAACAAAACTGCCATTAGAAGACCAGAGCTCATTTAGCACCGAAGCATCAGTCCATCCATTTAGAATCAGCAAAATTAAGAGTCATGTAAGTCTTCTTTAGATGTATATTCAGATATTTACAAAACAGACATTTTTAAAGCCTTTTTTCAATATTCTATAAATATATATCTATAATTGTATGCTTTTGTAAGCATTACCATGACAGGGTTAACAGACACACTGTATCTTTCAAGAAACACTGATAACTAATTAATGAGCCAAATTCTGAACAATAATCTCTCCATATCCACGTGCTGTAGGCCTGTCTAGATATGACTTCAGCTTACAACTTTGTTGACAACATCCCAAACATAATCACTTCTATGGCTCATTATTTTCACTCATGCTTTATGGCTTGTGTGAACCTGACCAGAAGGTGTAAACACACTGCTATCTAGTACAAGCTTCCCCCATGCCAAACATCCTGACTCCGCCCACTTTGACTTTGACTAAACATCTACCACACTACTTACCATATAATCTCTGTTTGATAACATCACAACCTCTCCAGTAAAGTTCCAGGTTCAAAATCAAATGTGAACTTCAATGAAATGATGTATCCAAAGAGCCTGTTGAAGATTTCAGCCATTTTCATGGATGACTACTACAGCTAAGCCTGTTAGTAAGTAGTCGAAGCGATTCCTCTTTAATTACAAGTAACATCTAATATGCTTTGCAAATTATATGAATCACATTCATAAGTTAAGATGCTTGACTAACAATACTATACAAAAATATTTTCATGGTCCATAAAATATGACTGCATATTCTAATAATACTTCAAAATTAACATTATCATCCTTAAATAGATAATTTAACCGATAATATTCATTCATTGCAGATACCCTGAAGGAACTACATGGTTAAAAATCTTTATATGCAGATGATTTTTAGAGGACCAATTCCTGTCTGAGGAAATAAAAAAAAATATAAATTTATCTTGAAAGTCGTAAAAATGTTTTTAAATGCATAGTAAAGTAACATCAATAGTGCTTGTAGCTAATTTGAACTCCTACAAAAGTTAAGTCACAATGAAGAGGTTTATTGTAAAAATAAGTCAATGACTAAGAAAATTATGCACTTTTAGGTTACTGTGTAATCTAGAAGTGTTCTTATCAAAGCAGAAAAGAGAAGCAGCAAACAAGAAAGTGTTCAAAACTGGTCAACAATATGTCTTGTGTTGGAAACAATACACTATCTCATGGAAAAATTGTGTGGCCAATTCTGGATGGTGTATTGTTAATAGGCATTCTATGTGGAAATATTTTAACAATTTGTGCAGTTTGTTGGTGCAGGCGACTAAATAACATTCTATCAAATCATTTTGTGTTAAGCCTTGCAGTATCCGACCTAGTGGTAGGATTGGCACTACCATATCACATGGCGTTTTACATATGCAATCCTTTGGGAAGTGACAAACAAACTTGCATCCTGAGATTTGTTCTTATTACTTTGCCATGCTGTGTTTCCATGTACAATCTAATAGTAATTGCAGTAGACAGATACATAGCAATAATTCATCCTTTACATTACTACCGATACATGACTCGAAGGTAAATTATAACTGGCACACAAGTTGTTTGTATGCATTTAGAAGAGAAAGTTCATTCAAATGTTATCTTTATACTGATATTGAATATAATTAATGGATAATTTTTTAATACAACCCTTATGTATTGTCTATAATTTCCCTTTCAGAATGGCTACAATTCTAATTGCGTCAGGGTGGATTACAGCTTTCATCCTTTCGACAGTGCCAGCTTATTGGAATACTTTTGATGAACCATGTCAAGAGCCATGTGATGAACCATGTCAACTACATAATGTACTGCCAGCAGTATATATTTTATTCATTCTTACACCAGCTTTCCTACTCGTGTGGATAGTTATGTTTGCACTGTATTGGAGAATATGGCGAGAAGCAGCTGGCCATGCCAAGCGCTTACGCAGTGCTCATCTCAACAACAGTCCTTCAGATTGGAAATCTTTGCAGGTATTGCACTTTAATCATATAATTCACTATATTGAAGGCAAAATACAAATTTTAACAGAAAATACCAAACAGTATATTGTTCTTCATTAATTTTGGAACTAGCAATAAGTTTCTATTAAATGTAGTCAGTATTAATAAGCACAAAAGTGAATAAGCATGCGAGTACTCTCTTGCTTGTATAGAAATATAAAAAATATCTTCAAACATCTAGACAATTGGTAAAGCTTCCTCCAAATCATCTATATGAGCAAGACTATACTTTGACAAATTGAGAATAGGTAGAATATGCGAACAAGACTTGTTCGATGGATTTGAAGCATTTCTACAGTCAGTTTTAATGAATCCTTCATATTAGACATTTACTCACAGAAAGTAATTCATTCTTGTTTCAGATGGTGATGTTAATTCTAGGGTGCTTTTCCTTCTGCTGGCTGCCTTTCTTTATCGTAATTTGTTCAAGATCTGCTCAATTAACTATTCCACGTTCTCAGTTAGTTTATCAAGTAACATATTTGATGGGTATGGCTAATTCTTGTATAAATCCCATTATATATGCATGGAAAAATTCAGAATTCAGAAAAGCCTTTGCTAGACTTTTACACTGCCAATCACCAAATAGATTACAGACACTTTTGCCAGAAACAAAGGATATACAACTCCATACAATTGGAAATATAACTGAAACTCCCTTTCCATCAGAAGTGAATTAAGAAATTTCACACCTTACTTCACATCTACCTCGAGTAAAATCACATTTTTTGTTTGTACTGTTGAAAATAATCGCATTGTGAAAATAGGCAATCTCTTTTCTAAAGCGACATTAGTTTCAAATTTGTTAACAAAACGATCTTTTGCTAGGTCCAACCTGGCAATTTTATAGAAAACATAGTGAAAGAAAAAAACATGCTGTTCAATGTACATAAGTAGCAGCCAAGACAATATATTGTGCAGAAGCTCAAATTTTCTGCAAGTAAAGCTATTATGTAATACATGAAATACTTTATTGTATTTTAATACAGATATGAACGAAAACTACTTGTATTAAACATGAATTAAAAGTTATTTAAAGCGCATCATAAGGTTGTTTTTTATTATTTACTTCCTCATATTCACCAGTGATTTTCAACCAGCATCTTAGAGCAAAGCGATATTGCTTCACAAACACTTGTAAGCATCCAATATTTATTATAGAGAAAAAAAGAGAATGAAAATGTAATATATAAAACGAATTGATTTTTGAAAATATTTTGAAAGCATTACATACTAGTCTTCGTCATACAGTTCTTTTCTTTCAAAAATCAATGTGAAGTAAGAATTGCCAAAGTCCAGATGTATTTGGTAATCATGTAAATGCAGCAGTATGGTACTGTCAAGAAATCCTTACATGTTTTGTAAGAGTAAGAATTGACACTGGCACATTTACTTCACACTTTCTGCACAATCACCCCTTTAGCTTTAAGTATAAGTAAAGCCAACTTTGTTTGCATTCTTCTAAGAAACTAGGTGAAATTCCCTCTGGATATCCTAGTTTACAGGTTTTGGGATTGCAAAATCCTGCAAGGGACTCTTGACTGCATCAAAGTAGGGTCTTTACCATTCTCCAATGATTGGATACCCATGTTCTGTGACTCCCCTGATGTGAGTGGTCAGTTTAAAGCGATGACACCCATATATCAAGAGGGAGTGAAGAAGACTGAATTCCTATGTTTGAAAATTACCATTTATTTTACATATATCATTTGCCTTCAAGAATCATTATCAAGTCCTAAATTCTGAATACAATGATTTCACTGAATCTGTGCCAACAGTGCAAACAGAAAAAAAGGGGAGGGGGAAATCTTAGTTTTGTATTCAAATTCCAATTTTCTTTACAGCTTCTTCAAATTCCCATTTTTTTTGTTAATAGTTTTTCGAGATATTTGGGTTCACTAGTCACATAATATACAAAGCCTACTGAACATTCATTCGAAGGTAAAAGACAACTGAAATGTGCAGTGTCAGACTGAACTATTCTAGCCTTTTATTTATTGGATTTAGTTTTGTCTGGGTTTATAATATTTTCACATTATGTAAATCACCTCGAGCCCTAAACAGATGTTCATTTTATTTTTGTTTGTTCCAATATGCATCATCTTCCTGTTAAATTTTATTTCCAATGACTGATCCAAATAATTTTCTATTTGTTTGGAATAGAGGGATATAATCTTCTCTATAGGAATTGGCCTCATAGCAGATGAAAAAATGTTACATATTCTATCTTTATAGTTCCAACTTTTTTCCTTTTGTAATTATTGATATAAAAATTGAGTGAATGATGCTAATGATGTCTGTACCATTTAGTAGGCACAGTAAATATCACATGCTCACATCATTTTGCCATCAAACCAGATGTATTCCAATACCTCAAGAAGCACGTAAGGGATCCAGTTTTCATTTACAAGTTAATGAAAGTGAAAAATACAATGCACAATAAATTAATAATACATTAAAAATAACAGATTTTTATGAGGGATAAAAAGGCAACTTTTTTGTGCAACAAATTCTAATCTTTGTGGATGCAGGAAAACTGCAAAATATAAAAATTTTAATTGAATATTACAAATGTGGCATATCAACTTCCATTCGATATGATAATAAATCTTCCCTGGGCCAAACCTCTTTTAACCTAGTGTAAGAGAAGACCATTTTCTAGGACAAAGCAAAGCTGAGTAGCTCTGTCTAGTAATTCTCTATATCCAAGGAAATATACTCTGGGAATGAAAACGTTTGTGTACATATGTTGTAAGCAGCATTTGAATTATTAAAATCAAATGTACCGATTCATAACAAAATCTTAGAAAACTTTGATGACAAAAAGGTCAACAAAAGTTTACAATAAATTATTTGTCAATTTATTAACATTTCTCAAGAATATTTCCACCTCCTGTATTAGTGCCTGTAAGTATAATATCAGAAGAATTGAATATTTGAAATATTATTTTAACATTTAACTCTTATCCAGGTAACCTGTGTCTATTGGATATGGGCACATTTTACTGCCTGCTGCTTAATGACCTTCTTTAGACACTTCTGCGTACAAGGTTTCACTTTTGTCTTTCAATACACAACAATGAAAGTTTTTATTTTGTTTTATATTATATACTCAGGCCAGCAATTTTCTGATTTATTTTATCATTTGACAAGAAACCACATATGGTGATCTTGAATTCAAAACAAAATAAGGTTATTCATTTGTTTGTCTGAATTGCAAGTCTAGTAATACCTACTACGTTAAAAGATGCCATTCACTGTCACTGTTCTCTCACATTCTCTGTTCATTAGATCTGTGAAACATTTCAGGAATAAGAACAAAAATTAAATTGAAAGGACTCCTTCAGGACTTGTCAAACACTTTTCTCGCACATTTTTAAACACTCGGGCAGTGTCTTGCGACATCTGTTTGCCTGGATTTGTTACAAAATAACATACCTGGAGAATGGTAAATATGCTCTTAGATTTTCATTTATACGTACTACATATCACATACTACATAAGCAGTATAGAGAAAGAAGTGAATTGTAATGCGGCAGCAATGGTGTAATGTAATCGAGACTGCAAAGTTCGCAGCGACAGAAAACAGGAGAGAAAAACTACAAACTATTACTGCAAAACTTGTCCAGGCAATCCGGCCCTCCACCATGGAGAATGTTTTAAGTGGTTTCACACCCAAAAGAAAATCAAGATAGATTACGAACTTAAAGTTATTTTTGTACTTATTACTATTTTCTTAAGAAATAAAATAAATGCTTTCTTGCAATGTGTTGAGTTGTTTATTCCCGCAATTACACAATCAATGAATTTAACTACAAAAGTAGGTCAATTTGAAATGTGATTTTCAAAATTAAAGAAAAAATATTGTCATTTTTTAAATTTATTATTTGAATATATAGTACATTGTGAAGTTAGAGCAAAAAAATAACGAAAGAGTTCAATACAGTTTAAAAAATAAAGCCCATTGAATAATATGTAACACGTCTGCTTGTGAGGCTGCGAAACAATGGCCGACCTGACGGAAGTGTGAAGCGCGCACACCCTCTGAGTCAATGCGCCATTTTCTTGTGTCATCTCAGAGATGCCCTCCGACCTGTAGAACAATATGCTTCCTGACAGCACGCGAGCTGAGACAACAATTCAAGATGTCATCTCAGACATGCCGTACGAGGGCAAAGGGTTAAACCTGTAGCCCACACTGTCAATCTCTCAGATGCACAAGTTGTCATTTCCTTGTCATGGAAATTTTTGAGAGAACAGTCATTCACAGAATCTCTCTATTATTGTTCTCAGATATCATAGCTTCCAGTTTGTGCCAATAGGGTTTATGTTATAGTCATGAGAATAATCTCCATAAACTGCGTGTATTGCAGGCCTGAGCTTATAGTAAAATTTACAACTAATACAACTTTTGAATCTATCTTGTTCTTATGTGATAAACATTGTAATTCAATAATGTTTTAAAGTTTCAATGTGAATAAATGTGTAGTGTGCGTGCATGTGTGCTTGCGAGTGTGTGTGAAATGCCCAAGAATCAGTTTGTGAAGCAAGATAAGCTAAACTTATGATGCATCTGAGAGATCACTGCGTATGCTCAAATAACTTTTACTAGAGCATGTGCTGTAGGGTTAAAAGAATCTGCTTTTCAAAGATACATATTTAAACGAGGTCGTGAACAATTTTTTGAAAATATGAGGAATTTTCATGTAATTTTGAGTAAAATGACAAAAGTTAAAATGTTTTTCGAACCTGTCTTATGCCTCCAATATTGAAGCTAGATATTTCTTTCTCAAAGCAATCTATTTTTCAATAGTAGATCATTAAATCATTTCATGTACAGTTTTTTCACAATATGGGAAGTGTTCGCTTTTTTGGGGAACATTTTCTGAAACATCAATGTGAACAAAGCACAATTCAATTCTAGGCAATACAAAGGAACCTTTCTTTTTGTAGACTCAAATGCTAACTTATAAAAATTTTCAAAAATTCATACTTTGCTGGAAAGTACAGTAGCACCACTTTTTTTACCGTCCTTTCATACAGACATGGAGAAAATTGAAAGAAAGTTTCTTAAAGTGTTCTTTACGCTATCCAAGGGCAATGTTTAACCAAAAAAGTAGGTGAAATTTTTGAGAAAATTTTGAAAATGTCATTAAGCTTTAAGTAAAGTACTCTCACAAATAAAAATGTCAGTTTCAAACTTGCAAAGCCTCTAGTTCCATCAGATCTATCACAGAATATCAGTTTTGGAGAAAATTGGATAATTTGTTTAGGCGCTAGCGTTGACCACAGACAGTTTTGCAGTCTATAGATTTTTTGGTATCTAGGGTCTAGAAAACATGAATGCTAACCGCACCACATGCTAAATGAAGTAATTTACTGAATGTAAGAACATGATTTATCCACTTTTTCATGACCAGGACCCAAGAAAGAGAGATTTTCTATTAAAAATTCACTGATTTCGACACACAATTACAATACTTTATCTTCTAACTAAGAAAGTATAAGAAACAAAAGCAGTATCAATAGTGAGCGAGGCCAAACTATTATCTTTTCGTTAAATACATAGCTGGAACCATAACTAATAAAATTGTTTTGGTTTATAAAAGACCTTCATAATTTAATTAATCACGGTAAATGACAGATGTCTGAATTTGCTGACAATTTTCAAGTCCTTCTAAAAGTAAAGATATTATCTTTTCTGTTTTAGGATACTTTGGACAGAAAAAGGTCCATTTCCTCACAACTTTTCAAGATTTATGTCCAAGAATTCCTGAAGAAACTGAACACATCATGTCATATGCTTGGTAATATAAAGTTAAATGTAATAAATCAAAGGAGACTTTTTTTCAGACCAAAGTTCTTCTAGGTCTGGATGGATGGATGGATGGATGGATGAATGTTGTGATGAAAAGATTTTCATCATAGTCTAGTTGTGCCATTCTGTGAATTATTATATTACATTAATTCTAGGAGATGGTTTACATGAAGCTCGTGTAACATGTCTGAAATTTTCTGTAAGATAACAGCAAATTATTTCTTCAAATTTTTTGCTTGAATAGAGGAGAGAAAAACTTAAATGGGGGAAGTTTTGGTGTACCATACATTCCCACTAGTTTACAACTTCTTAGGTTTTAATAAAAAGACCAAAGATCTATTTGGAATCATCACTTCCAAACTGAAAGCAGGATTGAAAAGCTTTGTTATAACAAAAATAAAAGAAACCAAAATATTTTATTAACAAAAACTGGAAAGGTTCTTGAAACCATTTAATGCCTTAATATTATTGTTTTGTTATATAGAGTGTAACTCACCTCTACTCCAGTCACACCAAGTGCTGTACGAATATTAGGAGTCATGCGAAATGGTACCTTTTCAGGCACTCTAAGAGTTTTTCCTTTTTCAAAGCAAACATTGTAATCAATGTGCACCACCTGTACAGAGAAGCAAGACAATTAAGTTAAATGTACATGTTTAACAATAGTAAGTACTTTTTTTTTATAGTATACAACATTCTTTTCAAGGAAATTCACCTCTCCTGTGGACAAATCCACCAAAACATTATCCAAATGTCTGTCACCTAAGCCAATAATGTAACCAATCATTGACATCACAGCAACAGAATACGAATACCTTCTTGTTGTTTGCCACCAACTTCCAGAATTTATACTATTACACCAAAGTTCCCTACAACAATAAAATTACATTTAGAGAATAAAATAATATTTAGTTCAGGTTCAAAGATGCACACATTAAAAATAAAATTACTTAGCCAGAAGATCCTTAGGAGTTTCTTCCATCAATTCAGTTAAAACCTGTCTCAGAACAGGCAATGGCCAATCTTTACGATTCTCCACGTTTGTGATACCTCTTTCCTTCAAAAGAGGGCCAAGTTTATTGTAGAATAATTCTGATGGTCTCAAAACTTGTGGAGCTGGAATTAAAAATTAATATCAATGTACACTTTAAATAAATATCATCAGTAATTTGCATGAAACTCTTGAGGAGACCATACCAGGATTTAAGGGACCGGTAGATGCATGAATTTTGAGTGTAACTGACACAATTTCTCTTTGTTGCCATCGCTTATAAAGGCTAAACAATGGTGTAACACCATCAACCCAGCTAATGAGCCCACTACGTGGCCCAAGAGGAATAACAGAATAATGTCTTGCATAATAAAGCTGAGTTCCTGATCCTCTCTGCATCATTGTATTTGCAATACTAAGAAATTGCATAATACGTTCATCAAGATGCAAATCTTCTAATCCTTTAAACAGATAGGTATACCTGGAAAAAATTTATTTGTAATTTCTTGTAATGTAGCCAATAATAACAATAATGGTAAAATGTTTTATTTACATCTGCCCATCAGATCCATGGAAAACAAGTTTTTTTGGCTTAGTTTTAGTTGGGAGAATAGCAACATTATTGTCAACAGCAGCTATTGTAATAAAGTTTCGTTCACTGGAAGAAACACCAGGCATTGCAATGACAGTCTTCTTCAACTCTGCAAGAGCTGGACTCACATCAGACATATGAATTGTATAAGCTGCACGTTTCTGAGAACGTTGCTGAAGTCGAGTCTGGAGTTGTTTCATAGGCTGCCATGATTCATGTGGGCGCCGAGGATTAACAGGAGATTTCAACTTTTGTAATGCATCCTTAATGTAGTCTCCTATAGAAGAAATTAAATTTCAATCCATTGTCTGGAAATACTTAGAAATGAGAGAAAATCCTTTTTTATTCCCTTTTTAATCCCCTTAAAATATTGAGAGAAAAAAAAAAAACACACAAAATGTTACCAATATATCATGATAAAAAAATCTCAATAATTTTATAATAAGACTTGTTAATAAACGATTAAATAAGTTCTTATAAAAATGATAAGAAATTTCACTTTTCTTAAGAAAATAAAATTAAAAATTCCTTTTCATAATATGTTCAATGTGGTTTCTATATTTATAAGAGGCACAGCAAATATTTTACAAGTGCTCCAATTTTTTTGTTTGTTTTTTAAGTTTGTGTTTAGTAATATTTATGTGCCAAATTCTTTATCCTTCAACTTTTATAGCAATACAGTCGCAAACTATTGAGGACATGGATACTGAAAATGATACTGACAAAGTCAATGACAATCAGCACTTGCCTACTAGAATCAACTATAAAATATAGTAAAATAACATGAAAGAACTTGCCAAATTTCTCCTGAAACCATTTTTCGTGAGGAGTTTCAGGAGGAACTGAAGTGATGGTTTGAAGTTGCTCTAACACATACACAATCTACAGAAAAGAAGAAGACAAAGAAGTTAAGTTTGAAAACTCGAACAAACTGGAAATTACAAATGGATCCGAGACACTAGAAATACATACTGGCTTTAAAATAATGCGATGCTTTTCTGCTATCAAGTGCTTCTTGAGATCGGGTGCTAGGGACATATTTTCATCAACTCTAATAACTTCTAGTTCCAACTGTGATAGGCGGCGTGTGATTTCAGCATGATGTTGGACTAAAGTTCCTAACCACAATTCATCCCACAACAAAGTGATACGACGTAGCTCTTGAACCAGAAGTTTCACTTGAGATATTGCCTCTGGAGCCTTCAGAAGAAGCAATAACCAATTAAAATAATAAAGTTGGTTTTGAAAAAATATAATTTAATGAAATTCATAATTTTACCTGCTTTGCAAGAATATCAACCATTGCCAGAAAGCAATTTTTTAACACCGAAACTTTATTCTCCTCAGCAGTAACACTGTCGTCATCATCATCCTCATCATCATCTTCATCGTCTTCATCATCATCCTCATCATCATCACCATCCTCATCAAGATCATCTTCAACTGAACGCTGAGACAAGCAAGCGCTAAACAGTTCTGGAAAGAGTACACTTGGAATCACAAGGGGTAGAGTAGAAAATAACATTAAAATATGCACTCAGCTTAACATTTTAATGTATTATCATCACAATCATCATTATCATGATTATGATGATAATGATCATCATTATTATGATTATTACCATTATTTTTATTATTATCATCATCATTTTATCTATATTGGACATTTGTGACCACACTACACGTTATCTTCCAAGGCCCAGTCATACTTTTAACATTTGTCATTAAGGGGATCAGGTTTTGGGCTGTATCCCTTGGCAAGACAAGGTTGTTATACCTTGAATTATGAGGGGATAGGAGGATGATGGGGGGTGAAGGGGCAATCACAAATATGACCATGCCTACACAGGACTACAATCTGCAGCTTCCTTGGCTGCCGCAACCGACTGCCACGAGGGCCAGTATTATAATTTTTTAAACGTTTATTTCATATTTTTATTATTATTTAAATTTTATTATTATTATTACTATTATCATCAACATCATTTTGTTATTCAATTAGTAGGTTTGATAACTAACACCTAGTTTCAAGCAGGTGTAGCTTCTTTGAAAATTTTTTTTCTTTGTCAGTTCGAAATCTTGTTTGTTCCCAAGTCTTCTTAAAGATTAGTTTTCATACTGTATTTGGTCCTGATATCTGAGATTTCAATGTAGTCTTAAAATGTGCCTTGTGAAGTACCTCCACAGCTGCTGGTGTTCTCTACTTCATAGAAGGTAGGATGAGGTTAACTATATACATGAGATATTTAGTATGGTGTTACAAACTTAACAGTAATTTAAAGGTTCTGACCATTTATTGTCACTCTGATGGAGATAACATTATGACGCAATACATAGAAATGTTCCTTATGACTTCATGTCTTATGGCAATTTCATTCGCAGGTTGATTGGTTGCAGCTATTCTTGCTGCACCACCTGCCTTAGTTTCCTCAAATACTATGTGCCTGGAGCTCCAGGTAAACATGACTGACAATCCTTTTGTGTTCTATTTTGAATAGCAATAGACCTGCTTTCAGACGACTGTCTAGGACTGAGTGAAGATTGAGTGTGTCTGTACAGATGGTGAATTTTCTTGCAATCAAATTTCACAGTATCATGTAGCTTGCAGTACTGCATGCAATTCAGCAGTGTACATGCTTACTTCTTTTGGAAGTGTTCAAATTTTGGATGTTTTCAGTTACAAACTTGAATGCATCCTATTCCATGCTCTATTTTCGAATGGCTGGTGTAAATGACCATGTGATTCGATCTTTAAGGATCAATCTGAAACAGATCATTAAATCAATATGGAAAGTTTTCCTTTTCTTTAAATTCGTGATTTCAAGTCGATTTTGGGGTGTTTTCAATGTTAAAAGTAGCAATGTCAAAAGTGTCTTTGTATGGCACATACACATGAGCATTGAGCAGTGTTGGCCAGGAGCTGTATTTCTATCAATTGGTTATTTAAACAGCATAGATGACTGCACGAGTAGCTGTAGGTCATTGATCGTAAATTGTTGCATGGTTTAAGTAAGGTAGGTTCTTTATCTGGTACCTGAGTAAAAGTGTGTCATCACAGGTGTAATAAAATGATGCTGGTTACACCACAGATCAAAGCACAACTAGAGCAGACACCTCCATTGCATAATGGAGTCTTGTATTGTGAACAGGAACTAAATTTTTTTTCATTGTGAGAATGTTGATGTGCTGCTGACATTATTCATGGATATATAATAGGTCATCTTCGTCCACTTATATTTAATTTCCTTAAACTTCATTTACTGACTGAGGGAGTACACTATACACAATAACGGACACTACCATGGTTTTGAACATTGTAAAAATCTGTATCTGCTCCCTAATGTATGTGGGATATACCTCCACACTGTTTCTGACAGATGAGGATGCAGTTGATCTTAACTGCTGCAAATAAAAAAAACAATACTTTTGGAGTTTCGTGCTAATCTATTTATGGCATTTGACATTTTTAATTTGTTACTGGTAGTGATTTGGCTGAATAGAAGACAGCAATGTCACCTACATCCATCCACTATTCTATAGATGATTCTACGTCATCAAACAGGGTTCATCACTGTGATGAGCATCGCGCTGGAGTGTCCCTCAATTCACCATCTGTTGTACGGGACCATTTGAAGAAGACTGCCTATCACTAAGTGTTGACAAGGATCTGCCATTAAGGAAGCTGGAGAAGAACTTCAGTAGGTTTCCAACAGATTAGTTGAAATCTTAGTCACAGTCATATTTTTTTCTCCTCCTCCTCCTTCCCATTCATTATTATGTATTTCTGCTTCATTCATATATCACCTACACACTTACAGTATGGGTGTTATATTTCTAGTAAACATGGACCAATCAGCACAATCAATGCACCAACCTTTCAGTAAACTTACAACATGCTTCAGTTTCTTTGATGAAATTATTTAATTTATTAATATATTAATACTGGCAGCATCAAGCCATTGTACACATATCATACAATAGTATCATACATAAGTTATACCAGAATTTAGTTTGGTAGTGTAACAATTTTATAATTTGAATCTTGAAAGAAGCCACTTGATCTTCATCGGACAGTATCTCACGCATTTAATACCTGTGTTACTGTAAAAACTCTGATTATCTTTGTCTCACAAATGCCCCCCCCCATTTCTCGTTTTTCAAATTTAGAAGTATCTGAACTTTTGAATTCTGGAAGAACTTTTTAATAGGTTTATGTATGTATCACATGTTCTTGCTGCCTTTCATTTTGTGAAACTAATAGTATTTAACAACATAATATTACTCAGAGCAATATCAAAGAAAACCTATTCCCAAATTCATTTAAACAATCAGCAAGAGCTTAAAGTAAATCATTCAGATACTGGATTAATTGAACAATTCCTTCATCCATTTATTTCCAAGTAATTTGCTTATTTTCTACAACAAAATAAATTTACTACCAAACTTCATACTTACTACTAGTTGAAGAAGGGATATTCATGTCTTTTAGCCTTGTCCCAGTGGCTGCACCAACAACAGCCGGAAAGGTTATGAGATGTGGTGCATCTTCTGCAACACGGCAAAGAAGTTCTGATACCCTTCTCCTAACATATGGTTCTGGATGGCTAAGGCGTGAAAACAATTGTGGAATAATTCCTTTCCATGGCCTTGTAGGAGTTGAATCAAGTCCAAGTTCTAATACTCCTTGCAATTCCAGAGCATGTTTCACAATTAGGCGGAGCAGACGGAGAGTAGCAGTTATTGTTGTACAGTCAGTTCCCTTAAAATAAAAGAAATAACAACAATGATGATACAAATTATGATAATGATGTAGATACAACTGACACTAGGAATGATGATGATGATGATGATGATTATGGATGATGTTGAATGTGAATATGGGACTTTCCTGGTCAAAAAGATCAACAAAATATTGAAGGTTCAATAATCATGCAAATACTTATATTTTCGGATTCGGCAAGATATAAAAACAAGAAAAAAAATCATTTTCTATAAGTATATTGGTTTTTGAAAATAAAAAAGAAGACTGACATATTTCCACAATCAATTTTTTTAAATCTGCAATTTTTCTGTTGCTTGACATCAGTAGGTAATGTTAACAAACTATTAGATCAAACTTCATGTATAGTCTTTGCTTAGAATTTTTAATGCAACAATACTGGAAAAATTATTAAAATCATTAAAAAAACTCAAGTATTTTAGATACAAATTAACATTCCCCCAAAAAATCCAATAAAAAAAATATATTGTGCTGAATCTGAAAATATAATTATTTGATGATTTCCGAATCTTCAATACTTTGTTGACTGTTTTGACAAAGAATGACATATATATTTTTTTAAATCACATAAAGAAGAAGAAGAAGAAGAAGAAGAAAGAAAAAAGAAAAAAGAAAAAGAAAAGAAAGAAAGAAAGAAAGAAGAAAAAGAAAGAAAGAAAGAAAGAAAGAAAGAAAGAAAAGAAAAACACACCAACAACAACAACTTGGTGAAGTCTCTTCCAATAGCAATACTTGATGCATATCTTACATAGACTAGCAATGTTTGTACATCACAGAGAATTTTAATACAATACAAATAAGTTCATACTAAAAAGGAACCACCAGGCTTACCTCTCCATCGCCACACAACTCCAGAAACTTGAAATATGCCACCGCAGAAAGTTCATAGTAAACATAAACTCTCTTTTGAGCACTACGCCATATGTCAACTAAAAGTGAAAGTTGTTCACGAGAAGCTCCAGACAAAGATCTTACAGTCTGCAGCTGTGTTTCTATCATTTCTGATGTATTATAATCTTCCACCTGTGAAGTTAGTATACAAATATCATATTACAAAGATTTCACATTACAATTGGGCTAAGAAAAAAAAGATTGATTTATTCATTCATTCATTATTTCAAGTTTCTGGGCACATAACCAGCAAAAGTCCATAGTCCTGTATGTGTCCCCCCAACCAGCTTCCCCTGCTGGATGGCGAGATCCAGCATTGACCTACATGTCAGCTAGTGAGGTTGTCCCCAACCAAATACTTGCCACCCGCAGATCACCGCCTCAGCCAGGATAAGCTCCAAGCTCCTGTCTGGTCTCCTTGCGCGTGCACGTGAAAGTAAAAAGGTGGAGATAGGACAAAGAAGGGGAAGGAAAGATCATGCACCGTCCTTGGTCCATTTGTTAGGGTAGTACTCTGGCATTTCCCTGGTGTTGATCGCAGAAACCACAAAACACTAAAATTCAGGGTAGCTGACCACTAGAATTCTAATCTAGTCAGCAACTGAATTTGACCTAGCTATCTAGCTAGTGTCAAAAATTCTGCCACCATCCACTCCCAAACCCTAGAACCTCCTGGCCAGAGGACTGCAGTGACATCAGATGATACCCTGAGCTACCTAAGCCGGTGAAGAAGTAAATGAGATGGAATTCGAGCATATAACCAATGAATTATACAAATGAAAGATTCTATTTTTTAAAAGTTCACAAGAGAAGAAAAATTTAAACATCAAGTCTCTTTCTTGCAACAAAAGTCAACAGAACAGCTTTATCATAATTTTAATACCACAATTGTATCATAATTGTACTGAAGGAATTTGTAAATTTAAAGTTCAGATAATTAAAAGCTTTTCATCATATATCATAGTTAATCCTCCTCAGAAATTGTTAATCACATGGCACGATATGTCAATAATAGATGTGGAACACAACATAACATATTCATTCAAAAAGCATGTGCTCATGGCAAAGTCAAAATGAATTGAATGAATAACACAGAAATAAAAAAAAGAACAAGTAAAAGAAGATAGAAGTCTGGTTTCATAATTGATAGGACCACCATTATGTTGAACAGAGATTTCATATTCCATGGTTCCTTTCCTTTAGGTTATGGCAATCTTAATTCAAATAAATTCAACTTCAATTTAATTAAGAGATATTCATATTTATTTACAATATATTATCGTTTGATAATATAATATTACTGCATAATGTAACCAATAAAAAGAGTTGTTTTGGTTTAAAAGATCCAGATAGAAAGTGCCTTGGGACAAGGATCTATAATGTTACTTTACTTGGTCACGATAAATGAGAAGAATGATCAAGTTAAGAGAGTTCACCTACAACTCAACAACACCCCAATTTAACAACAAATTCAGAGTGATTGAACATTTATAGAAAATATTATTTAATACCTCTATATCTTCCTCATCATCTACTGTCTTTGTTTGACTGAGAATTGAATACACCTTCTCCAGGTCATGGCCAGGTATTCCGGGCGAGAGTATTTGCTGTACACTATCCCTGTCCACTTCAGTCAGCTGTCCTCCTGCTTCACTAGCAGCATCAACAACACGTCGTCCCCAACGATAACACCATGCAGCAAAATTACTCCAAGATTTTGCCAAAGTTGGACATTGACAAACGCTCATATAGAGAAGGCGACCAACAACAGTATCAGTAGGTGGTATAACTTGAGTGCCATTTTGTAACAGTAGGTTGCAATCTGCAATATACATGGAAAACTGAGATTATATCACAATATAAAATTTAACAGCATCTTGGATGTAATAAATGGGCAAAATAGAGGAGTAAATATCACAAAACAACCTCCCACACACATGTATATATTATATTTACATATTTATTTTGCACCAGTTCCAAAAATTATCAACATGTTTACATTTACATAAGATAACATCTACATTACAATAGTTGGAAGAATAACAGCAAACATGAAATTAACAAGGTAAATTATGACGAGATTTCCAAACCATCAGAATTTTCTCTAGCTGCTCTTAACTTTAGTTATAATGAACAGGACAATGGTGAATATCAAACAGATGGATTGCAATTTCCAAGACAAGCCAGTTAAATGAAAGTGGCAAGAAATAGGATTCTGTCAATCACAATGATGAAAGGATGCCAATCTTGGTCACTTAAGTAATAAGAAACTATAAATATAAAAGCGAATTCAATTAAATCACCTACAATTCTTTAAATGTTAGAAAATATTATGTATATGCAAATTTTACAACAAATTCCTCTGTGAAATAAAAGTTGTGAATCACTGTTGTACAATACTAAATTAAGTGGTAGTCGACAGAACTCTGGAGGTCCCCAAAAGAACCAAAGAGATCACCAGGGCAGATCGTTAATAAAATAAAATAAACGAGGCTTGGGCACTGCTTCATAAGGGAAACAGGTGTTATAATCTTCTTTTTTTTTCTTTCTTTTTTTTTTTTTTAATTCAATTGAATTTGCCCTATTTTACGAGGCAAGACTCGGGCCATCAGGCCCGCTCTTCCGTCTGACCACGCAAATTTCGCTATGCTCCTTTCACCAACTAGGAGAGAAAAAAGGTATTTCTTGGGCGAGAAACAGGCGATTTGAATTTAGCTCAGAGGCGTCATTTAGGCTTGAGGATCTTTTACATGCAAGTAAATCTACGAACATGGGACAGCCGGCTTTACTTCCCCTCCGAAGGAAGGCGTACGAAGGATTTTTTCGCCCTTAAAAATCCACGGCTTCGATCGAGTTTGAACCCGCCAACTTGGGTACAACAGTCCAGTACGCTAACCGTTACACCATCGCCACTGCTTCAGTATTATTTCAGTATTATTACTTCAGCAACATCACTTAAAATCCAAGAAGGCAGTCTACATCTTTTGAGATCTCTCAACTGAGTCCATTGTCAGACAACTTCAAGCTATTCGGGACACTGCAATTAAACCATGTACTTTGAAAGCCACTGAAGAAGTGAAGCCACTGAAGAAGAAAAATTTTTATGATCTTTCCACTAACGCACCCTAAATATACTTGTTAATCTTATTTTTGTCATTTTTCTATTCTATAATAAATTAATAACATTTAGGTAAACTGTGTTTTATATTTTATTCAACATCAATCTGAATACGTTATGAAACATATAAAAAACTTAGACATTTATTTTCCCCTTGTGGTTGTAATAAATCATATTACGTACATAACAACTATCCTTATAACAATAAACTAGTGGGCAATATTGTAAGACTACATAAACCAGTCAAGTGCTTTCACGCAACAAAACATTTTCTGCTCTGAGACTTGATCTCAAATCCTCAAAGTTAACTTGTCAGCACCTACAGCACTATGCCTCACAAAAAACCTGTGGATCACACTTGGGCAGAGGCATAGAAAGGTAAGTGCTCGATTCTTGTAAAAAATAAAAAAATTGCAGAAACTCGGCTGAACAGTTTAGACGCTAGCATTTAATGCAGACAGACTTTCGCCATCAATAATTTTTTGATATCAAGAACCAACGAAACATATATTTTGCCTACACCACATGTTAGAGGATTTTGTTTCTAAATTGAAATTGGTGATCAACTAAATTCTAAAGCCTTTCTTTACCATGGAATTTCTCTATGAAAATTATAATAATAATAATAATAATAATAATAATAATAATTATTATTATTATTATTATTATAATTATTATTATAATAATAATTAGTTACTATTACAATGAACTCTTATCTAGTGGAGAAAAATTAATTTGTTTTAATTTCCTTCACACTTCTCAAAATTATTTTTCTGGTGAGGTGACCAATTAACTGTCCCCTACTAACACCAACTAATATACGAATGACCAATTAACAGTCATTAGTATATGAAGAAGACCACAACTTACAAGAGAAGATAACCAAAGCACTATAATGGTACCAAAAATATTGGATTATTATTAGTATACCCACTCCAACAATAAAAAATGAAAGTCATTACAAAGTCATAGGACAGTTATAATTTGTAAACCAAGTGAACTGGCAACTTCATGATCTCTCTGCTACGGCCACACTGAAATCGATCCTATTAATAGGCACATTATGAAGAAATACATTTTTACCTATGGGATTTTCCTCTTTAGTTTTATTTCATAAAAATTATACATTTTAAAATCTATTATGTTTTTTTCTACAACAAAAAGATACAAAGAAAAATGTACAAAATACTTACGCTCTAAAGTCATTGAATCCAGTACTTTCATATCTTTATTAGGGCTTGAATTCTCCCATGCAAAAACTTGGGTCAATAATTCTCTTATTTCTGTTACTAAATGAGTTTCTACTTGCAACCATTTAGCCAACGTGAGCAAAGTGCGAGACTTTCTTTCCTCTAACTCAAGACTTATGCCCGTTGGTTGCTGAACTATGGCAAGACTCGTTAAAGCACACACCTGTACTGCAGAATTATGGCAGTTTGAACTGCAAGCAAATAAATGTTCAATCAATAGCAAAAAACCCATTTTGAATTTCATTTTTTAATCATTACATAATTAATTAGAAAAAAACCTTTCTTTACCTATACAATAATTTAGCAACTTCAATATAAGCTCTTGCAATGCTGATATCCCATGCTTCACCGAAGCTCATGCTAGAATCAATCAAACTTTCCACAACTTGCTGCAATGATATTTGCTTGAATGCAGAAGAATCCATTCCAAAACCACCACCAGAACTCAAAAATCGAAGAAGCAACTTGTTGGCTAACTTATAATTGCCTTCTTTGCGAGCAATTCTCGATACTTCCAAACAAAGCCCATTCACTTGATTATGGAACCTCTTTCCACTCATTTGGTCAAAATAAGTAGCCCACCATAATATATTCGTAAGCACAGATGTTTTTGCATAATTAGGTTTTATTTCTGTGTCAGCCTGTAGGAGAGTAAAAAAAGAAAACAAAAACCATGAAAACTGAAGATCATAACACTTTTTTTCTGAATAAATATCCTCTAACTGAGTCTTAAAAATGTATTAATTTTAGTGTAAAAAAAACAACAATTCTAATAAAAACCAAATATATGTAGTGTAAATTCAGAAGTCTTGATAAATTTTTGCTAGATTTTACACTCCACAAGTCCCCCATATTTTTGTTTCAAATTATGCGATATAAGCTCGGTGAGGTTTTGTAACTTTACTTCATGAACAATTCTCATAATGTTTAGAGGGAAAAAAATGGAAATCATAGTTACACCAAACATTGGAATAGTAAAGGAGGAGGGCGGGGAGGGGGGGTAGACAGGAAGGGTCAACTGCCTCCCCCACTAAATTTTAAAATTTCCATCGTCTTTGATATAAAATATACCACAAAATATAATTTACACTTTTATTGAAATTATCTCTTAAAAAAAAAAAATAATAATAATTTCTTGGCAACATCTCTCTTGCTCTTCCATGCTCTCCTTTGTACAGTGAAGCATTCACCTGCTTGTGTAGAGCAAAAAACACATTAAGATCAACAAAAGCAGGAAAACATATCAATTTACTGTGTTGATTGAGGATACACAGGATACTTTTTTTTAGAAAAGTTGAAAAAATATAAAGTTTAAATCTTAAAGATATTTTCGAAAATCCACAGAAACCTGAGCGAATAAAAAGGTTTCTTTAATTATATTCAAAGAAAATGTTTTTGTTTGTGAAATTTATTATTATTTAAACAAGTGTGCTTTGATTATTTATTTATATATTAAAGATTTTTAAGTTAGATATTTTAAAATATTTATTTACTGTAATTATTTATTATTACAAATATTTATTCAATGTAAACTTTTAATTTAGTGTCTCTCATTTAATAATTGTATTATTAAATTATGCCACTTGCACTGTCCACAATAGAAAGGTAAATAGAAAATCTGTTCATTTCTTGCAAGCATTAAAAAACCTTGCACTTTTATTTTTCTTTTATAGCAAAATTGATTCTAATACACAGATTCAGGCTACTGTGTGTGCCAAGAGGCTCATCTTGTTGCTTGTAAGCAAGAGGCAAGTGATTCAGAGCAAACCCTTTAAACACACATTTGTATTTTTCTCACAATACGTGAAAGAAAAATTTAGTTTATTCAGGTTCCTAATTGCTCTTTTCCATTCATAAAGTGTCACACTGTTTTTGAATTACAAGACATTTACTCAAAGCATTATTATGATTATAGTTCTAGATGTCTGCCTCCTGAAAAGTAGGAGAGAAGAGAAAAGAAGGAGGAGTAAAAAAGGAAAGGAGGATAAGAAACAAAAAGAAAGAGCTTTTATCGAAGTCTAATACTTGTTCTGAATTTACATAATGAATCATTTGATCTGCACATACTAATTTCTTTTGAAGCCCCAGTACTGTGTAAATTTGCAGCTACTCAGTTAAGGGATTTAGCTGAGAAACTTGAATCGTGTCTCGATTGTTTTGTTAAGGAACCCGCTTGATGTTTATGCATTACACACTTTCCTCTGCAATTATCATACCATAAAATATTAGCTGCAACATTCGGGAGAGGAATATAAAGGATTTTAAGAGAAATAGAAGTAGATTAAGAAATGAGAAAAAAAGATACTTCTTTAAAATTCTAGCAAAAATATGGAAGACTAAAAAATTAATCTTTTTATAGCCAAAAAAGTATTTTAAATTTAAAAACTAAAATTTAGTCTTTATCATACACGTTACCAATTTTGATTCTCAATACATTTGAATGATTAAACATTAATAATTCTTTTATTATACACAGACATTAAAAAAAGTATGATTTGTGCAAGATGTTATGTGAATGAAACAACATACCATGGTAAAGGCGTTTTTCTCAGGTTCACCTGCTACCACCGACAATAATCCTGCACCAGCAAACTGTGATATCACACAATTTTGTAAGCTCTCTGATGGCATATTTCTTAAACCCTCTTGAACATGGCGTTTAGTTATCACCATACAACTTTCAATTACAGATTTCATCCAACTATGTTCCTCTGAAAAACTGAAAGAAATGGGATTTCTATAACAAAATACAGTAACATAGGTTCACAACATATTAGTACTTTTAGCTAAATATTGAGCTTATTAACAAAATATTTCAAATATCAGCAAATTGTTTATTAATGTAAATTATTTTGGTTATTTAAGACTGACATGGAAATTTAAAACCACATTACAAAGCTATTTAGGAGGTCACAAGAAGTAGAAATTAACAGTTGTCTGCCTTCGCATCAGAGCCAGAATGTCAAACATTGCATGTTTCAGCAAGTCTCATGCACAGACAGGGGAAGTTGACACAGACATTAGATGGGTGATCACAGCAAGTATCAGTTTCCACTTACAACTGTCTATCAGGCTGTTTGTTATACAGCTTCATCAAGTGAAATGTCTCTTGGGTCATTTTCTTGCAAAGGGTACTCAATATCCAACATTTGCACTGCCTTGAAAAAACCCTTTTCTGCTATCCCAGCAAACTGAATTGTATTGTCATAAGTTTGCTGACATCAGCAGTTGCCTACAAGTGCGAAATTGTTTGGCAGATGCATATTAAAAGAATTGGAAACTTCAGTGTGCCATCATCTTTTCTCAGCAAGAAGCACATTAGGTGAAATCATGTGAGTACAGGTCATGTGATTTGATATAAATTTCATATTCCCCGACTGAACATTTCACAAATGAAAGTCTTCATGATTAATGAAGTCTTCAGGCACCAGGCATTTTCAAGCAGTCCATTTTGGAAAGAATTTTTACCCACATCCCATCACCTATAAATGCCTTGCAGCGACAGATTTTCAATTTCCGGAAAACATTACAGTAGTATGGACTGCATGCTGATGCCCTCCTTTTTTCCCTGCCCCTGACACTGCAAAGCATGGCAAGGCTAGGCTAGGCTACGCAAAGAATGTGGGATGGAGCACCTTTATATTTGGTGACTTTATCAGCTGTGAAGTAAAGTACTAAAAAACTTTCTCCCAAAATTGAATGGTTTGCTTCAGAAACAACAAAAATGCTTTTTTCTTATTTTGAGTTTAGCGCAGTCACATTCTGGGTACATATATGCAATATTTGAGACATCTTTTTGGAGCCTGGTTGGAGCTCTGGACAGACCTCTCTAAGACCCTTAATCTAGCCAAAGTCAACAGACGCTTGAAGGTATTTGGAACAGAACTTAAAAAAATTGTTACATTATTGGTCATATTTAGCCGCATTATGAAGTTATTAGTTCCAACCGAAAAGTTACTGTTCACTGGTTTATGTTGGTTCTGGAATAAACCATTCAAGTGTTGAAGGTGCCTGAGGTGTGTGGAGACATCTCCACCACATCCTTGGTTGCAGCCAATCAGCCATTATGCATATTTTGTAGAGGTTTAATAAAAAATACACTGTTTTTCCTGTACAGCATCAACCCCAAGCTTTCAAGAGATCTTGGATTGTCAAGTTTGTGGTTTGGGGAGTTGGCCACTTTCAAAGGCCTTACTGAGAAATAATAAATCAAAGGCAGCTACTTGCAACAGATCTTGGCAATATTTAACATTAGTATTCGATATTTTAGCCAGGTAATTTGATACAAGTTTAATATTCAAGTTTTACTGCTACAGTGGCAGAAAGGGTAATATCTTATGCATAGATTCACAATCTTTGATGCAATCCTGATCTCTATTGTTTCATTTCTTTCATGCAATACATCCTCATTTTTATTTCTTTACGAGGCTAAACCAAACTGCCATTTCAATGCAGGATTAGTGTATTTTTTGAAACTGCATCCGTATTCGCTAACATGATCGATTTAGACAGTAGCTAATTACCACACTAACATTAATGGTTCAGTATTACACAACACTAATGTTCAATGTGAATGATTCTTTTTTTATATAATTTTGTTATGGCAATTTATTAAAAATATGAGAAACTATAAATATCATTGTGACCAGCTTTATAAATAATGCTTATTTTCTTTCCACTCCATTTTTAAATAGATGTTTCAGTCATATCAACATAATGTGTCTTTTGGTCATTTTACCACATACAAGAAAAAATAATACATTTCTTCAAATATATCTGTGAAATGCTAGTTTTATATTAATTTTGCGAACATTGCAGGCAACACAAAATATTTTATCTTTTTAACTATTTAGCATACTTTTCTTTTCAAAACTAAACAATGACACTAAAGCACAAGAGCAAGAATGTAGAGTAAATATACCCTAAAGGCTACCTGATAAGATTTCTTCAAGCTGTATTACAGTAATACTTCACAATACGCTTAGGTGTGTGTGCACACAGTCAAGGGTAAATATTATACCAAGAGAAATTATAGTAAAACAAACAACAAAAAATTCAGACAATATAATGCTTGAAGTAACTTACTCTTTTCCTTCCGTTTTTTGAGTGTTACAGTCAGCAGCTAATGTCAAAGCAACATTTGCCAATGTTGAGTCCACTTGCTTAAGAAGAACACAACTATTCCAACATTTATCAGCATTAATTGGATTACTTCCAACACTGCTCCACTTTTCAAGTTCACTTAAAGCAGATAAGCCATGTTCTTCAAAACTATTCATTGCTTCAGCTTGCTTTGCAGTGAAACTATTTCCAAATAACTGGAAAATGTTAGGAAAAATACACAACTCTTTTCAAAATATTTGTATTTCACACTACAGAATGAATAATGTTAAAGGGAAAAATTGTGTTAAAAGATTGTCAGTGTATATCTGTAATAGTGCCCACATCTCATTAAACATTTTCAATTCTCATTATCAGCTGAAATTTGTACTAACGCACTATTCTTTAGGATGTAACATAATCCTGGCAGCTAATGAGGAATCCAGTAACAGAAAGATTTGTTCATTTATCTAAACTACATTTCTCAGGAAGCTCAATAAAACAGGGTAATTGACCCAGAAACTGAAGTACAATACTTGTTTTGTTTTAGAATCATACAATTCAAATGGTAACTAACACATTTAAGATCTATCTTCATATCAATATTAATTTCCATTTTGATGGCAGTACAGTCCCCAATTTGTATAAAAACAGTTGTGCAGCAGAAAAGGTTTTACTGAGGACTTACACAGGTGTATCAATTTTGTTTAATGTGCTACATCACAAGGAAGTGAAGGTCACATGAGATCTGTCTAATTACCATTGGAAGATCATTTTCCCAGGAGTTTCCACAATTCTCCAACTGGTTACGTTCTACATTTCCTCACACATGTGGATATATTTCAAGACAACCATTATGTCACATTTGTTGGACATTGATGAGAGATGATCATATATACATGTATGTGTGAGTAAGTGATTGAAATTTCACACCCATTGAAAAGAGAGACAGTAATATGTTTTGTTGATGATTCATGAATTTATTAAGAAATACAAAACCATTCAAAGTAAACAAAATAACTACTCGCTGCCTTGACGCATATACAGCAGCAGACACCTCAATTACAACTAACAAATTCAATAAGTAGTGATTCCTATAAAAATGAATTCATAGCTACTTTGAATAGTTTATAAGAAACAAAAATATACATTGTCCACTTATATTACGTTTAGACATTTAAAACCTTGATAGACCTATAGAAAAATGAATCTTTGGCATTGTCAACGACCCACAAAATATGATTTTGATCAGTGTATACAAGAAAATAATATACTTTGTAGGGGGACCTACAAAAATTCTCTTACTGTATAGAACATTCACAAAATATGTTTCTCTGTTGCAAAATCACTTTCCTCCGCAGCATTTGAACAATTTTTCTCTATAAGATGTAGTAGCATATAAGAATGTAGGAAGAGAGACAGAGGACAAGAAGAAGACAAGACGGATGATGATAATAATAGTAATAATAATGATAATGATAATAATAATAAAATAATAATAATAATAAAATAATAATAATAATAAAATAATAATAATAAAATAATAATAATAAAATAATAATAAAATAATAATAATAATAATAATAATAATAATAATAATAATAATAATAATAATAATAATAATAATATTGAGAAGATGAGCCGGAGAAGACTACGGCTTGGAGAAGGAAAAAAAAAGACACCGACCAGACGAAGAAATAAATATATAAAATTGATTGCTTCCGGCAAGTCAACTGCTGCTATGATCGATCTGCTGACTGATAGTCCGTTAGGGCAGTGATTTTTTTGTTATTGGTTGAAGAGGATGCGGCTTAGGATAAAACCTTTAAAAATTTAAATTAACTATTAACTTCTAATCAATTTTAGTATTTTCCCATGGGTATGTATATTCTTTTAAACTCGTATGAAGCATGATCATAAAAAATCTCGTAATGTTATCATGAATAACTTATCATCAGATTGTTTTTTAAAACTAATAAACATAGAATATCTTCAGTCATGATATGAAATTTTTGTTGTTTATCTTTGAAAAAAGTATGTTTGTGCTATGAAAATGATGTATTTTGATTCCATTGATACGAAAGAAAGGATTTTTTTTTTTGTTGACTTGTGATATTGTTCTCATAAATGTCATTTGTAGCATAATGTATTCCGTAAATGAATAGTTTACTGTGTTATACAGCCTGTTTTGTGACAAGTCCCAGCACTGCATATACAGAAATGAATGCATTACAAATAAAACCCAAAAAACAAGGATTGAGTAGTTAAATAAGAAATGTGAATTTAAAAAGGTTACTAATAAATTTCTTAGAAATTACTTACATTTTTTGTAGAAACACCATGATCAGAATTTGCATATTTATCTTCTTGTTTCCATTTTAAGAAGTCTTCCCAATTTTTCAGAGAAAGATAACAGTTTGTTAACTGCAAAACATAGTATATTATAAGTACAATAAGGGCCGATCCGGTGGCCGAGATCGCTAAGGCAGTAGTGCCGTAGTGATCGCGTACCGAAAGATCACGGGTTTGAGTCCCGCCTCGGGCATGGTTGTAGTATGTTCGTCCTTTCACTCCCTATCATCTATCATCCTCCATCTCTCATTATCACCTTTCTGAATAACATTCAGAATTGTAACTCTAGAATTTATCCTCACCTCAAGGTGAAAACCTTCGACAGTCGACCATGAATAGTAAAAAGTGAAGTGGAACGACTCAAGTGGTCCAATGTGGCCAATGAAGTTAATAACAATAATAATAATATTAAGAATAATAATAATAAGTACAATCCCACTTAACATTAGGACTGTTTGTCATTCCCAAATGTAATTAGAAGGTTTCATGAAAAATATAAGCGAAGAATACAAAAATTAAATGTTTTCACCAGATTTTTTCCCTTAACTCAATAATAAGTTTCAAATATAGTTTATACTTTAAAAAAAATTGAAGTTTATGGAAAGAACATTACTAGTAATTTACAAAAGGTTGTATATCGAGCGTAATAAACACGTTACATGCACATAATTATTTCACCTATACAAAAGTGGCAAACTACCTTTTCACCCAAGCTAAAAACAGGAATAATATTACTTCTGATTCCCATCAAAATTCAACATTGTTTTCTCTCCACAGAATTGGGCACTTGAAGTGCTCTTCCTTCAGTTTTTTTGTTTTTTGAGCAGTGGATCTGTTGCAGCTCTTTGCCAACTTTTGAATGATTTTTTTATTTTATTTTTTTATTTTTACAGAATTTGTAGCCTTAGTTTTTATATGATGATTTGGTGGTGAAATAATACCTCATGTACAGTCTAACTTACGATTTATTTACTAATACTTTGGCAGAATTAACCAGAATTATTAAATGACAAATATCAAGACTAAAATGTTTGCCTCTGATTACATAAAATGAAATTAACAAACTAAATTAACAATTCAATGGTGTATTTCCCAGGTTCCTCACACCACATACATTTTCCCAAACAAAATGTTTTATAGTATATTCATATGGTTGCAGTAAATTACCAGAAGTGGCTAATTCGCTTATTAGACAGTTAATGTTCAAATTGGGTGTGCAAAGTCCAAAGTTAGGAACAGCTTCAAAGCATATTTCAGACTTAAGCCAGATGAAATCCATGTTAGCCAACTTAGTGAAGTGTTTAAGTGAAGTGAAGTAAGTTACAGAAGAGCAGCAGATATGAGACAGGAATCAGAATGTCAGTGGGAAGTTTCTACGGCTAAAGAGATAGTGTGCAGTTTCCAGTTCAATATGACAGTTTTAAATTTCTATTAGCATGATACCACAAAATCTAATCTCCCAAAATATCTCTGTTGGCACTTCGCTACATATTTCCAAGTAGGGGTGACAAGGCTGCCGTCTTTAAGACTCATAATCTGAGGGACACATAACTTCCAACGCATTTTATGACAAAATGCTTCTTACGAACACACACCTCACCTCACCCCATCTCACTCTGACTATCTCCTTATTTTAGGCATTGCCCTGTGGATAATCTAAAAATGATCCGATTATCATCATTCATACAACTTGCCTGGCTTATGTGAGAATTAATTTAATAATTAGTCATACTTTGGTCTTCAGCTGTAACATTGTATTATGATTGCTCAATGCTTAATCCAGAATGACATTACAGCCTAAAACTATCAGAGTAAATACACAAAAACAAATAAACCATTTAAACCAGAGATTAATGTGGACAGGTATTTTTTTCAAATATTTGTATGCAACAAATATCAAAATAGTATCATAAAATAATATCCATTGATCCCAAAATAACTGCCTCGATAGTTCTATTGTATTGTCTAAGGACAATATTTTGTCACAAAATGAAAGCAAATTATAACATAAAAATTACATGGGTAGATTGTCTAAAACGAAACAAATTTTGCTCTACACACAATACAGTTAGCACCATCTTAGCCATTACTACTGTATTGGAGTGAGAAATAGAAATATAGGAAAGAGGACTGAGGGTTAAAAAATGAAGAGATGCGAGAGTCTCTTACAGTGTTGGGTATATGCATTTACTGTCAAACCTGTCTTGAACAATCACTAATGGTTCTGGTGAAAAATGGCCTTAAGTAGATGTATCTGCTTCTTCTAAAATTAAAATATCACTACACTTTGTACAATGGGCAATAACCTAGGGCTGAGCCCCAGGTGGCATCGCTTGGTGAGTTATAAGGGAGAGTTTTCAGTTATCCAATCGGGAATTTCAATTTTTGAAATTTAAATTACAGTTTGAGAATAAACAAGGTTAAGAGGTTGTGGGAAGATTAATTTAATTACTTTGAGCTACAAAATACAACTTACACCAAAAATTATACTAGAATTTATACACCATATTTTCTTAATGCATGCCATCGGCATGCATGCAGCAAGCAAAGCCAGTGCACCAGTGAGCTGTCAAGTCACAAACTGAGCAGGCAGTTATGCTGAATGCATTCAACTGGGCATAAGGGAACAGTGTGCTTAAAAACGCGGTTTTGGGGCTGGAATAAGCATCAATGTGGGCGGGTCACCTCGTACAAGTCCCTCTGGAGCCACCTCTTATCGGAGCATATATAAATAACTGCAGACTTGGGAGCAGCAGGATCGAACAGATGAAGTGTAGAGTCAGTGTATGACAGAAGTGGATCCCTCACTATGCCAGCCGTTTACAACGGGACTGAACTGCTACAACATTGATTCTCTCTGTATTTATGAATCAAAATTGCGTACCTAATCAGTTTATAGATTGACTACTTAGGTTTAGCAAATTATTCACCTTATCCCTACACCACCAGCAAAATGAGGATTGGATAAAGCAAAAATTAATAATACTGTGGAACGAACAGCCAGTAAAACATGCAATTAGGCAAAATATATGTATTGCTATTGATACTAACTTGATCGGATATGAACTCTGAAAGAAAATGTTCAGAATCAATCTTGTTTGTCAATCCTCCAGGTTTTAATAACACATATTCTTCAGAACTAGATGATGGAGTATGAGAAGAACACTCAGTATCCAGAAAACGTTTATAATCCTCTGCTGCAGCTTCATATCTAAGACGAGAAAGATATTCACTTTATAATGTATACTAGGCCTTTATTTCGTAACACACAATGTTAAAACTACATTTAAACATTGTTATAAATTAAAACATTGTCTCAAATTTTTTTGTTTAAGCAAGAACCAAGAAGAAACAACTAAAATGCTTTGTAGCATTAAAAGTCAAAAACACAATAAGTTTGAAGGTTACAAATACTTCACTACAAACCATTAGGAACATAATGAAGAAAAATGGTAATGAAGAAAAATAGCATTTGTTATTTGCCTCACCTCCCAGCAGCCTGTTCAGCAACCGCTTTCAGCCATGGAAATTTTCTTCCATGTTCACGGCACCAAACAAGCAAACCAACAATGGCTTCTGGCTCCCGAAGTTGGCACAAAGCCCAACTAAGGTATAATACTGTTCTCTCAAATTCAGAGCCCTGAACACATACAAAATATTCAGTGACAAAGTTGACAAAAAATTTAATAACAGCTTTCTGGGTTGTCTATTTCATAAGCAGAAATAATTTCATAAAAAGAAACCTAGAAATACATTTACAAGTAAAAAATTAAGTTTGTCCCAAAATTTTAGCACTTCATGTTCATAGATTCTATATTGTAGTCTTTGTTGAGTTAATTTTAGGTAACCAAATATTAAGATTTTTGTCATAAAATTCATTACCTTTTCATTTAAGAATTTTGTCTTATTGTTCTTGTGTTAAAATGGAATTATAAATTTATTATTTAAAATATTTTATTTCACCTTTTTTGCAGTTTTAAGGGCATTTTTCCTAGCCTATTTGAAAGGTGCCTAAAGTTCCTGCCTATAGTTTTGATCGATGATGTCAAATGCTTTTGAAAGAGCTAATAATATTCCATTAGAATACATTACTAATTATTAATATATTCCAATATTCCTTCATTTTGATCCACTGAAAGTGACCTCTTTAAGAGAGGGGGAGATGAAAAATATAAAATAAATAAAAGAAAAAGCTTTTTTTGTGAGAAAGGGTTCCACTCACACACAGAAAAGTGTGTGTAATATTTTTGAAACGACTGACAAAAGATAAATTGACCAATAATTTTGAATGCATTTTTGATGCCTCTTTGAAGAGAAACCTTTTGGAAAATATTCCAGTGAATAAGGAAGTATTAAATAGAGTTCACAGGTATACAATGGCAGGCACACCAGTCCTCACAAACAATCAATCCTGATATTCCATTAAAACGCCTGAATATTTATTTTTGCATAGAAAATGTGATACAGATTGCATTCACCCCTACTCAATCATTTTTAACATAAGCTTCAAAATTCAACATTTTCATTGTAAATCCGTTTGTTGGAGGCCTGTTGACTATTTCCCTACTAAACAATAACACTTGCAGAGTTATGTGCAGAGGGCTTCTAATTTCTACGTGATAGCCATTACCTTCTCTTAGCAAATTACATATAAAGGGATTAACAAAACTTAAATTGCAATAGAATTATTATGCAAAAATTGATGTTTTATCACGTGGATATAAAGTAATTCAATGCAACCTTTCAAAAAAATGTAATTCTTTTCCATTTCAGTTTTAGGTTAAAGGTTAAAAAAAAATTAACTAGAAATCTAGTACACTAAACTAGTTCCAAAAACAAATAGCACACAACAATACTTGCCTGGGTATTTTTGGATTCAACTAGATCCTGAAGCAGGCAATGGCCATGTCTCACAACAGCAGTTGCTTGACCAGCATGAAGTGCAACCATCAAAACAGCCATTCGAATGCGTGTAAGCCATTCAGCGCATGTACTCTTGTTGGTATGAAAAAATATTCTCACCGTCTACAAAAAAAGAACTGCATTGTATATCAACAAAAATACATAATAAATATGCCTAAATATTTGTCATCTTTATAATATAAAATGAAAGATTGAAATAAAGGCAGTTCGTAACATTGAAAGCAAATCCTGATGTCCTCATTGTAATGTTATGCATATCCAAAGCCGATCAAATCATGATTATGATCATGAAACAAAAATGTTGAAAACAGTCAGTTTTCAGAAATCAGCACCACAGTTAATGCTTTTCAAAAGTACACACTTCTTCATGGTAACACATAAATAACACAGTTGCCACATAAATTATCGTAGAAGTCAAAGCTTTGCAGTGCAAGCAACTTTAAATAATGAAGCTTTTCTCTAGCATTTGCATGAAAACTACAGCCTTCTAGTTGAGCTTGTTCAAAGGATGTAACAAATTAGACTCTCATGGCCAAAATGACTGCAATTTTGACATAAACAGATGAAGGAAGAAAATAATGAAACAGATGTTAAAATAGTGTATTGACTATTATGAACATATCATTTTATTCAGAAAACTAATTATTTAAAAAATGTTAAAATCCAAAAAATGTCAAAAATTGGGATTTTTGCTTTGGAACTCTCCATCCACGTTACTTAATTAAAATATTACGTGATCAAACCCCAGTGCCTGGTAATTATACATGGAGTCAAAGGGAGAAAAAAAGAAGTATCAGTTTTAACAATCTAAAATCTGGAGAGAGATTTTTGCTTTTGAGTTTTACAATTGCATTAAATAACAAACCATGAACCACACCTGATAAATGATGTTCTGATAAAATGTCATAACTTACTTTTTGACAAGGAGGTAGAGAGGAAGCAGAACCTTCAGCTGCATTATGGATACATTTCTCTAGATGTTCCAGGAACTCTAGTAACAGTCTCACACGTCGCTGTTCCCAATTTTCATCATGCGTCTGAATGCATACAACTGGTTCAGTAGGAGTACTTGGTTGCTTTTGCGATTGTTGTGATTTTGGTTCTTCCTCCTGTGAATCATGCTGCAGAGCCGATGTAGAAGTGGAGGAACTTGTGCTAGCAACAGCATTACTAGTTGATGAACTAGTGGATGGACTTTCAAACACATTTGTAGTAAGGCTTCCACTAACTCCTGATGATGAAGTGAGAACAGAACTGGTAGAACACGTGTCGGGTGCTTCAAGAACATCTTCAACTTGACAGGGATTTAGCATAGTATGTAAATCCCGAGCCAAGTCCTTAATTGATCCTGAAATATAATTTATATAAATTAAGTAAAAGGAATTAAATATAGGATAACTTTACAAAAAATAGTAAGAAAATATGCAATGAACTTACCTTCAATACTTGTAAAGGTTTCTTGTGGTTTTCCCAATGGAGTACGTAACTTTGCCGAAATACAAAACTGAGCAGCTTGCCACGTTGACCACAACATCAAAATAACATTATTTGTCCAGGCAAGGTGAGTAAATAACACAAATACTTTTGCATCCTCAGGGGAAAGTGATCGAGGGGCTTGCACTGGCCAACAGCTGTGGAACATTTGCAGCATCCAATTCTGTTCACTGGCCAAAATAAAAAGAAAGAAGCTAAATGAGGTACTTTGAACTTTTTATTTTGTAGACATAAAGATGAGAAGCGACATTTTCTTTATTAAGTCTGCGCTCATGGAAGAGAAGGAACTACAATGAAATTTCTTACGTCCAATACCTTTCAATTAATGTTTTCCATAAAATGGAATTCATGCCCACAATTCTGTAACACATGACTAAGAATCTAATTCTCTACACAGAACATACACGTAAACTAGCAGCCCTGTATAATACCAACTAAAGTCAATTAATGCATTACTCAAATAACTCATAACAAATGCATAACAAATAGACAGGCATCCAGTCATCAATAGACATGACAATGACCAAGCAAAATAAAAATATTTCATTTTAATTTTTTTAGGCAAGAATGAAGTAATTAAGCAAATATACAGGAGGAGTCAAGTAACTTCATCACCTCTTGCCATTTTTGAATGGTTGAAGATATTGCAACACAGTTTTCAAGGATGTAAATGAAGGAATTGTGCAAGTAGATGCATGTATATTATTTCCTTTTTATTAAATGAATTAAATTTTATGACTTCAATTTTTCCATTTCCATTTTATTGAACACAGAGACATCGTAACATTAATGTTAAGTAAACAAAGCCTCCTTATTCTATCCCTAACCCATCCTACAATGAGTTATTCTGTGAATTTCTAACTGCCGTGTCGCATCATTCCCATTATTTAGCAATGTAAAACAAATACGGAAATTTCAACTTTAGTAATTACCTATGTTTCATGTGAAATTACACAAATCTACCAATATAACCAAAAAATTGTACACGATCTTATTGAAAGACCTGTTTTTGTTTAACTGAATAATAATAATAATAATAATAATAATAATAAAAAAAAATAATAATAATACTTATAACAACAATAATAACAATATAATAATAACCATAACAAACAATAACAATAATAACAACAACAACAACAACAACAATACAGTAAAATCCCTCTTTTACACTTTTCAGGGGACTGATAAAAAAAAGTGTAAAATACAGGAAAGTTGAAAAACGATAGGTTAGGCGAGAAGCGAGTACTTTCATTATTTACTGCCATGGTTACTAAAACAGTAACCAGCAGTTTTCGCTTTCTCGCCCTTCGTAAGAAGAGAAATAAAAGCGTGCACCAGAATCGGCGATTTTCGTCAGAATATCTCCTATTGACGTGCCCTGGTAACGAAAAAGTGGATAAATCATTTTCCTATATATACTAAAATAACTTCCTCTAACATGTGGTGTAGCCTGAATCAATTTTATGGGTTCTTGAAACAGCACAATCGATTGACGGCTGAAAACGTTTGTATGCCCGTCAGTGGTCAACGCACGCGTCTAAACCGCCAGCCGATTTTCTCCAAAATTGATATTCCTCGACTGATCTGAACGAAGGCTTTTGCGAGTTCTTTGCATACATGTGTAGTAATTTACTACACATTGGATAAGGATTTAACCACTTTTACTGTATCAGTTCGAGTTTTTCTGTCGAAAAATCGCCGTTTTTCGCCGCAGCATTACATAACTTTCTCGACACAAGGTCTACGACGTACGTATACGAAGTAATAAAATATTATATAAAATAAAATAATTAAATAAAATATAAAATAAATTTAAAAAGCACGCAAAAGACAGGAAGCATTCTTCATATCAAGTTGTAAATTGCGGGAAGAGAATGCATTGTAAATATTGGCTTTTCAATGGGACCAACGAAAAATTACGTAAAAGGCGCGAAAACGTAAAATGTAGGAATGTAAAAACGGGGTTTTACTGTAATAATAATTTCCCAAGATGATAAATGTCGCATCTGCCACGAACAAGTAGAAACATTTGATCATATGGTCTCAGTTTGTTCAATTCTAATAAAGACCGAATACTTGAAAAGCCACGACAGGGTGTGTAGTTACCTCCGCAGACAGATCTGTTGATCTGATGTGACCACCCATGAAATTCCAAACACATGCCCCAACATCGGTGACATCTGTTAGACTCTATACAATATTGAACTACCAACAAATCCAAACGGATTGCGTGATATAAGAAAAACAAAAAAACTAATATTGTTAGCCGGGATTTGGAGAAAAAGTATCTACTTGCAGATGTTGCTATGCCTTGTGATCAACACGTCGTAACCAGGGAGGCTGACAAACATTGTAAACACAAGTGTTTGGAAATCGAAATCAGCCGAATGTGGGGCGTGAAAGCACAGATCATACTGCTTGGGAGTACTGCTCATTTGTAGCAACACTTTCATCGTATTCACTGCCACTGCTAATTCCTGAATTACACCCAGAATCTGTATCTTGCCACTGGTATGGGAGCATCAGATCCATGTCACACAGGTCACATTGTCGATTCCAAATAAGGGTTCTCCCAGTTCATTTTCTTGTACTGATTGAACCCTTTGATGTTTACAGCACAAAAATAGCAATCATTATGATAATTGGACACATGAAATGACTCCACCCTCCCACCATTTTGCATACAATATGGGAAGCCCATGACTTATCTTGATTGCCCAGTTTTAGAGCTTCCCACGTCGCGACGGCAGCGCGCTTCCGTCAAGACTCTCGCAAAGCGAAGCGGAGGAGGGGGTAAGCGCCACCGCTAGCAGAATACAGCTTTAAATGGTAGCCTTCCAACTGCGGCCGCCGCACAGTGGTTGATTTCCAGAATCCAGCGGTATTTAAATCAAAAATACATATGCTTGAAACG